CCCACCGACGCCTCCCCAGGCAACCGACCGGCGTGGGTGGAGAAGACGTGAAGAGCCAGGAAAGATAGTCAAAAATGTCTGCCAGCCCAACAAGATCCGCAATTCACCTGCATACAGCACACAAAGCCGCCGCAGCACGTCGACATCTCCGACCCCCCCGGCCTAGCCGAACCCCCCACTCTTTCCGCGTAAAGGATCGGCTCCTCCAGAAACTGCGTACCTTGACAACCGCGCGCGCGACTTTCGGCGGCGAGATGCCTCGGGGAGGTGCCTCTGGCAACGGAACGAGCTGGCGGGTCCGACTCTTGCTGGGTGTCTGGCATTGATGCTTACTCTGCCTTCGCCCAATGGAACGACCTCGGCATACAGTAGATTAAAATTTCTCCCCGGAGCTTGGCGGCGCGCGCTCTGAGCTTTCCCCGGCGCCGGAACTCCGCCTACTCAGAGGCGACTGCTGAGTGTGAGCCCATGCCGCCGTGGCGGCATGTCTTACCTGCCGGGACGCTTGTCATCGGTTCCGGCGCTTCTTTGTCGATATCGGAAACTCGAAATCCGTCCTGATGAGCCTGGACACGTCTTACACTTGAGCTGCTGGTTGTCTTAGCATCATCTCGACTCCAACCCACCAGCATCCAGACCGTGAGCATTCATGCGAGGATGCAACGTTGCCATCATTGATGCCCACATGTTTCGCAACTAATCCATACGCTGACAGAACTTTGCGATACATCCCCTGCGATGATGTGGCTAAGCTAACAGAGATGGTTGGCTAGCCTTTCTTACTCAATCTGCCAAGAGTCGAGGCCACGATGGGCTCGTAGCAGAGATCTTAGTTACCGTCTCTGTGAGCCAATCTCAAGAGGCGAATTCTAATCTGTCGAGGATTTATTGCTTACTCTCATGATTCAGAGTAATCGATGACCGACATGTACTTGCGAAACGATCGGAAACAGAGACGGAAGACATGAAGGCTGACTTCAAGACTTTGACTAGTCTGAAGTGCATGCTGTGTGGCTTCGCCTTCGGTCTGCTGCCATTCTTGGCTTCCATGTGATGTGCAAGTGACTGGCAGTCTTCGGCGATTCTACACTTGAAGATGCAGCTTGCGCCCTATTCAACTTGCACTCTCACAGTATCACGCAAAAGTGTCAGGATATCAAGCGTTACCAAGCTTCTGGAGAAGAGAGCAAGTCACGATGGCAGGGGTGCCCGCAAAGCATATTACTAAAGCTCTCAAGGGGAGGGCAAACTTGTTGTAGGATATCCGAAATCTTCACATGCGAGTCGAAGTGCGTGAACTTGCATCATATCATTTTCATCATCTCGCGTCCCCCTTGCAACCTCATGCATACATCTAATAGTAACCATGCACCTCATCTCTCCTCAACAGCACCTCGCCACCCTCTAGTGTCGCTCCCGCCTTGGGCACCGTCAGCACACCCTCGGCCACAAGATCCTTCGCCAGCTTGACGATGACACCATCGCACCCCTTGGCAGCCATGATGTCCACGGCAACAGGGAGCTTCTCCTCAACACCGGTGATGCTACTGCGGCTCGCGACCTCGCCGAGCGGGAACACAAGGTCAGGCACCTCGGCAAAGACGGAGATACGACTGCTGCTGAAGCCGAGCGGCACACCCGGTGCGCTTGTGTACCTGTTTCTCGGGCTCGCAGACCCGGTGCTGCCAACATAGAGGACGAGTGATTCAGTGCACTGGGCGGCGTCACTGGATGCCGGCACGACCTCCGAGTTGAACCAGTCCATGAAGAGCGTCTTGTTCGCCAGCGCATCGGCGTGCCAGCTGTCCGGGACCGAGTCGCCCCAGCCCCAGCGAGAGAGGGGCACAGGGTTCACGAAGGGGCGGCGTCCGCCGTGGGCCGCGGCGTAGTCGGCGTAGAAGGGCTCGCGGACAAGGGCAATCTGCTCCTTTGTGATGAGGGTCGCGTACGTCGCGGAGAGGAGGTCGCTGAGCGACGCGCCCTTTGCGCCGGCTGGCGCCGAGGATGACCAGGCTGCGTTCAGGTCCAAGGCCGTCAGCTTGCCGCCGACGTGACTGGCGAGCTTGGCGGCAAAGTCGTTGAGGATGCGGCCAGCGGGTGTCGTCGATGCGGGGAAGCCAAGGGTCAGGAGCTTGGTGGGGTACTTGGGCCTTGCCGATGGCGAGGGAGGTGTAGTTGCCCTGGTACATGGCCTTGCTGGCGGCGTCCCAGATCTCCGGGTCGCGAACGAGGAAACCCGGGGTGTCGAGGGTCGGCGACAGAGGCATGACGTTGGCAAGGGAGACGAGGCCGTGCGAGGGGCGGTTGCCGAAGAGGCCTTGGACACCCGCAGGGCCGCGAATGGAACCGCCCGTGTCCGAGCCGACGGCGATGTCAAGCCATTGGTAGGATGCTACGGAGGCACCGGCGCCGGCAGATGAGGAGGAAGGGTTGTTGTAGCCATCGCCGCGTGGGTTGAAGGGCGCGTGGTAGTCGACCCAGTCGGCAGTGGGTGCCTCACCGTTGGCGAATTGTGACGTCTTTTGGTAGCCGACGACGATACCACCGGCGTCAATGAGGTTCTGGATGGCCGTTGCCGTCTTGCCGGCGGCAGGGTAAAGGCCGTACCAGGCGCGGTTGCCGTTGGACTTTTTCACGCCAGCGAGGTCATAGATGTCCTTCACACCAATGCGGACGCCAGCCAGGGGCTTCTCGGCCGTCTTGGTAAAGTACAAGCGTGAGGGGACACCGATGGTCAACGATGCGGAAGCAGGGATCTGGGCAGAAAGGGGCTGGAAGAGGTCGCCCTTGGGCGCCTGGATCAGAGACTCGGTGAAGGCGCCGGCAAAGTCGGCGTAGAGACGGAAGGCCTGGTATACCTCGCGCTGGAGGTGTCGAGGAAGTAAGGACCGAA